GGCCTATACTACTGTACTTTAATGTTGTTCATAAAGGTGGTACTTTAAGAGCCATATATTTTATGAGGTGGCACTCACTGTGAAAAGTTTGAGAACCAATGTACTAGAGGTTTTACATATTCTTTCCAATGCAACTTTTCATTGTCACTCAAAGTACCAAGCATTTGGAGGAGCGTCCTATAGAACCTCTCAACGGCATTGGCTCTGGGATGATACAGTGTTGTACGTATCTTTTTCATGCCATCAATCTTGCATAGTTTGCTTATTGTGTTCAATTCAAAATCGGGGCCCTGATCACTTAAGTCTGTCTGGGACACCGTTATGAACAATAAACTTTTCCCAGAAGACTTTTGCAACAGTGCATGCTCATTGATTGGGTGTAGGGACAGCCATTGCGAACTTAGTGAAGTCATCGATCATAACTAATACATCTTTTGTGTTAGACTGCTCTGACTCAATAGATAGATAAGCTATAAAGAGTAACTCAAGGGGACTACCTGTCTGAATGTTCATGAGAGGGGCTGCCCTCTCACGTCTACACTTCCGGCAGACATCACACTCACACACACTGATCAAGTCCTCTGCTAGCAAATGCTATGGCCCTCAACTGTCCATCCTGAAGTTGGTAAAGAGCTGCATCAAGGTCAATGGTACTAGCGTCCGTGCGGAGGATATATGGGAGTTTGGGGCCTGCAAAACCCAACACTGGGGCTGAGGTAAACGTTCAAACAGATCATTTGTGAGTCCATCTCTGGCCAAATGGCTCTTTTAGTATACAGACCTTTATTGCTTTGTGGATCTTTTCTTCCCCTTTTTTATTGGTAGGTAACCGGCGGTTAGCTCATTTAATGGCCTTAAAATGTTAGAGTAGTCCTGGATGAATCCCCGCTAATACCCAGCAAAGCCCAAAAAAGATCCTTAGCTCCTTAAAGTTGGTGGAGATGGGCCAAGTTGTGAGGGCTTTGATTTTCTCTGTATCTGTTTCGACTCCATACTCTAATGCTATATGGCTGAGGTACTTAACTGAGATATTTAAATATCTCAGCCGGGTGCTAATTTCAAGCCAAACTTTTTCAATTTCAACAGGACTCTCTTCAGACACTGCTCATGCTCTTCGAGGGATAACAAGAAAATAATGAGATCATCAATAAAGACGAGGACCTCCTTACGATTCATCAGACCCATACACCGCTCCATGAGCCTTTGAAATGCTTATTAAATTCCCAGAACCCAAAGGGATACATTAAGGCAATTTTCTGCTTGTCTGACTCCAACATTTCAATCCGATAGTATCCGAACTTGAGATCCAAGACTGAGAACCATTTTGACCCTGCCAGAGCTGAAAATGCTTCCTCTAGATTGGGAAGTGTGTATGCATCTTTATGGTTTAGAGGTTTAGCCTCCTTTAATTGATGC